ACTATGCCACCTCAAGTCGTTCTCTGTCACCATTTGTCTTGTCTATGTACCCCCCAATGCCTCTGATTTCTATCATCACCTTCTAAGGCAATATCTTTCCTCCCTTCTTGCAAGCTCTCCAAATCCTATTATAATTGGTGACTTCAACTATCCTGACATTTGTTGGGGCTCCTTGAGTAGTTCCCATAACACGTCTGATTTATTTTGTGATTTAGTCTTTGACTTTAATCTTACCCAACATGTAACACAACCAACTCATTCTGGCGGGAATATTTTAGATCTCATTTTGGCTCCTCCAGTTGTTCCTATTTGTGAAGTATCAGTCAATCCTCTGCAACCTTTGTGTTCTGACCATTATATAATATCCTTTCAAATTATGGCTGAAACTCCTAAATACGGTCTCAAATCTACCCCTGCTGTTGTTCCTGATTATAATAAGATCGATTTTGAGGGTCTAAATAACTATTTGCTAGACATAGATTTCAGTCCTTGCATGGCCTCTAATGACGTGGAGTTCATTTGGTCCCATATTAAAGATCATCTATGCCAGGGTCTAGATCTTTTTACCCCAAAAGTCCACCTGAGAGCAAAACGCTTTCCTTCATGGTTCACTCCTGAAATTAAACATCTTTGCAATAAAATCAAATCATTGAAGAAATCATTGAAGTCAAGATCAACTGTAAAGCGGGACAAAATTCTGCAACTGTCCCAACTACTGAACCATAAAGTAGCCGTAGCAAAGGCTGCTTACGAGGCACATCTTGTTAATACAAGCGAGGGCAATCCCTCTCGAATATTTCGTTATTTAAGATCTATATCACAACCTTCTGGCATCCCAACACGTATGACTTACAACTCTATACCAGCAGAGACGGACCAAATTATCGCAGAATCTTTTAACAAATATTTCTTTTCTGTCTTTAACCGTCAATCTCCATCAACTCCGGCTTCCATGTGCCCCTTATACGATATTCAGACTGTCTCTTTCACTGAATCTGAAGTGTATAATATTCTTTCCAATCTCGACCCTGCTAAAGCCAAAGGAATTGATGGTATTGGCCCTACACTGCAAAAATGATGGTGGGTTATACCCACCATATCTGTGGAAGGTACCCACTTTTTGGTTTTCCACCAATGTGGGTGAAACCCCCTGGTGTTATATTCCCCCCTTTGGTGGAAAATACCCACCATCAATGTGTAATAATTACACTCATAATAATAATGCCACGCCCACTGCGCATGCGCAGTTCAGTTCCAAATTAATCCAGCTGCAAATGGCTTCCTTCTCTTTGTCCTCCATTACTGCCAGTCTATTTTTTGGCCGTTTAGCTCTTAGTTTTGCCTCTGTATTCTTTGAAATCCCCAGAAAAGTATGGTACTACTTCTGTTATGTATTTATTACGATAGTTTTGCTCATTTTATTGTAGTTATCTCATTTTCGAAGCCCGCTTCCATGTCAGCAGCTATTTCTGTGA